TTTACTAACTTTACTCTCGTCCCCAAACAAGAGGGACAGTTGTACTGTGTTTTATTTGGGAGGATAATAATAAAATTTTAATATATAAAGAATTTATAATAATTAGATCATTTGACAAAATTTTTGCAAAATATGTTATAGGTATTAATTTAAACAATTGGAAAATATCAATCTCAATTGTAATTAGTGAGTTATATTTATAATTTAAATATTTTATTTGTAATTAAAACTTCTAAATTTACAAATGTACGTTTAAATTAATATTAGTAATTTATTTTTAGAAAAATTAATTAGGAAGCTAGCGATAATAAGCTCATTATTTCCAGGCTTTATTTCCATTCTCCCTTTTATTTAGGAGCTTGTGTTGGAGTTTCCCCTAATGTTCTCTTTAGTAGTTTATATGTATTCTCTATGATTTTTGTTCGTTACCCAATATGCTAAGTGATGCTTGTTGCCCAAAAACTCAATGTGTGGATAGAGAACATGATGGAGTAAAAGTATGTTTTGTATAAATTTAATAAGGAAGCCTTGTTGATTCAATTTTTTTTTTAGAAATAAATGATGGTTTTATTTCAAATAAAGTGCTGAGGGCTAAAACGTGAATAACATAATACAAACAAACTGTAACTTCCCTCTCTCAGTGCCTTAACTTCTCACTTTTCCATATTGAACATCTAGCAGCTGCAATATTAGAGCGTCTTTTCCCCCTTCTCACACAAGTTTATAACATCTAGACAATTGATATATGCATATAAACTGGACCATATATATAGAATAAATGCATTTATGTCCTGTATATTTTACCTAATTACAGTATATCTCACTTCTATTTTAGAAACCTATATAAACATTCCATTGATCAATCATAATTACAAAACACAAACCTCTCTCCTACTTTAAAAGTTTTATTTCTATTCATTCAAATTGTTAGTTAATCATTAAGTTATATTTGTTAGATTAAAATACTCCTCCTTAAATATATATGTTACTAAAAAATATTAAAATCTCAAAAATTCATGCATATATTTTTTTACTTTATATTCATAATGTAAAATTATTTATTTATTAATTTTTTACAAAATAAATACACAAGTTGGCTAAGATGTTATCTCAAACACATGTGTAAAAAATTTAATGAAATAGGCATTTAATATAATTAGAGATAACTTAGTTAGTATTATTAATGTTTATTTTTCTGTAAATTTCATCGATCTCAAACAAATTTTTTAAATTATTTAATTAAATATTACCATAATAAATTATTTAAAGTTCATTAAATTTGTCGAGAGAAAATATACAATTCAATATAAAAGCAAATTAATAATTGTAAATTCTTATGCATTAATGTCTCAGGTTTATTCTAGCCTTGTGGTACAAGTGAATGTCATAATCAACCCTACCATCCCTACCATTATTTTCTGGAGAAGCATGCCACGGAAAGGTCATTGGAAGATGAATGATTGTGTGCTTTCGCGTAGATTGAACAGAGATGTTGCTGGGGATGGCCTACCATATTGATTACACGTCCTTCTTATCTTCATTGCAATTAACCTCTCTTGTCTTTTCCTGAAATGTAAAGAATTCATTTTAACTTCGTCTTCAAGTGTTCTCTTCTCTCAATCAATCTAAAACGGCTTCTCACTCCATCGCTTCCTATCAAACTCTCTTCTCTCTCAATCACACTGAGTTCTGAAACAAAACAAGGCATGGCTGCAGCAGCTGTGGCACAAGCTTTGCTCTCTGCTCTGTCTGTCCAGACCTTACTGGATAGGATCATCACCTCAAGCGAGCTTCGAGATTTCATGAACAACAGAAATCTCAAAGTCTCTCTCATGGATGAGATGAAGATTACTCTGTTGATGCTCGATGCTGTCCTCAACGATGCAGAGCAGAAGATGATCACCAATCATGCAGAAAGGAATGGCTTGAAGAGTTGAAAGATGCTGTCTATGATGCTGAGAATTTACTGGATGAGATCAACACTGAGTCTCTCAGGTCCAAGGTTGAAAAAGATTCTCAAAACGTCGCTAACAAGGTGCGATCCTTCTTTTCTTCTTCTTTTTTGTGAATTTAATTGGAGGATGAACTCCAAGCTAGAAGCAACATGCCGAAGGCTTGAAAACTTTGCCAAACAGAAGGATATCCTTGGTTTGCAAAGTGTTAGCTTAGAGTGCATAAAACACCTTCAACTTCATTGGTAAATGAATCGATGTGGTTGGTAGAGAGGATGATAAGGAGAAGCTAATGAAAATGCTTCTGTGTGATGAAGATCCAAAGGGTAATGACATAGGAGTGATCACTATCTGGGGAATGGGAGGGTTGGGTAAAACCACCCTTGCTCAGCTCCTTTACAATGATGAGAAGGTGCTGGGCATTTCGATTTGAAGGCATGGGCATGTGTTGCGGATGATTTTAGTGTTTTGGGACGCGACAACGAATCTTCTTGAGTCCATCACTTCAAATCTACAATAGCAAAATCTAGACTTCCTTCGTGTTGAATTAAAAAATAGCTTGAGGAATAAGAAGTTTTTGATTGTGTTGAATGATTTGTGAATAAGAAATATAGTCATTGGGATGACCTTGTAACCCATTTCACAGTGGAAGAAGGGGAAGCAAAATCATCGTGACAACTCGTCAAAAAAGAATTGCTGAAATCACGCATACCTTTCCTGCGCATGAGTTGCGTCGTCTCTCAGATGATAATTGTTGGCTTTTACTCTCCAAGCATGCATTTGCAAATGAAGATCCGAACAATATCCAGAGCTAGGAGCAATCGGTAAGCAAATTGCAAGAAAATGTGGTGGCCTACCAATTGCTGCTAAAACAATTGGAGGTCTTTTGCGTTCAAAAGTGGATGCAAAGAAATGGAATAAAATTCTCAATAGCAACCAGTGGGACATACCACATGATGATGTTTTGCCTGCTTTGCATTTGAGCTATATCTATCTTCCATCGCATTTGAAAAAATGTTTTGCTTATTGCTCAATCTTCCCTAAAGATATGTTGTTGGACAAAAAGAAATTGGTCTTGTTATGGATGGCAGAAGGCTTTGTACACCAACAATCCCATAGGGAGAAGACATTTGAAATGGAAGCAGATGACTACTTTAATGAATTATTGCATAGATCATTCTTTCAGCAAGATGGTGGTGATCCAAAAAAGTTTGTCATGCATGATCTCATCAATGATTTAGCCAAAGTTGTATCTGGAAAGAGTTGCCTATGGTTGGAAGGCCAAAAAATTTCAAAATCTACTCTTCGTCATTTATCATATCCTATTCAAGTGTATGATGGCTCTAAAAGATTAGGGAACTTCTCTCAATTAAATTGTTTGAGGACATTTTTACCCCAATCTATATACGATGGGAGGATGACACATTGTTCATTGACCAGAAAGGTACCACGGGATTGTGTTGCCAAAACTAAAATGTTTAAGAGTACTATCTTTGTTTGGCTATCACAATGTCAATGAGCTGCCTGATTCAATTGGTAATTTGCAACATTTGCGATATGTAGACCTTTCTGACACTTCCATTGAAAGATTACCTGATGCAGTCTTTACACTTTACAATTTGCAGACATTGCTTTTGTCAAATTGTAAGTGTTTTAAAGGAATTGCCAGGAAAGATAGAAAGGCTTATTAATGTACGTCACTTGGACATTAGTGGCACCGCTTTAAAAGGAGATGCCTAGACAAATTACAAAACTAGAAAATCTTCATAGTTTGAGTAGCTTTATGGTGGGCAAACAACTGACTGGATTAGGAATTGAAGAGTTAAAAAGCTCCCTTTTCTACGAGGAAAACTTTCCCTTTCAAAACTAGAAAATGTTGTTGATTCAATGGATGCTTTGGAGGCAAACTTGAAGAGGAGAGACAAATTGAGGAGTTAGTGTTGAAATGGAATAGTGATGCTCAAGATTCACAAATCGTGAAAAATGTACTTAACATGCTGCAACCCTTCAACAAATTTACAAAGATTGACCATCAACCATTATGGTGGCACAATCTTTCCAGATTGGTTGGGAGATTCTTCATTCAAGAATATTACATATTTATCAGTGAGTGATTGCAAGTATTGCATTTCGCTTCCATCATTTGGACAATTACCTTCTCTCAAAGAGCTTGTTATTGAAGAATGGAATTAGTACAAAGAGTTGGACGTGAGTTCTATTGCAGCAATGTAGAGTCCACTTCCTTTCAACCATTTCCATCCTTGGAAATTCTAGAATTTCGAGAAATGCTTGTTTGGGACGAATGGATATCGTTTGATGGTGAAGGTGCCAAATTTCCTTTTCCTCATCTCAAACTTTGAGTTTATATGATTGTCCTATGTTGAAAGGAGACCTGCCTAGTAACCTTCCATCGCTGACAAAGGTTTCTGTTTCAAATTGCAAACGGTTGGAGGCAAAATCAACAGCTTTGCATTGGATTGCATCTATTGAAGAATTAGAAATTTATAAAGGGAAGCAAGGGTTATTGGGAGCTCTTGATGATTATTCTTAGACTCTTTGAAATCCATAACAATTGGGAAGTGTGATTGCTTGCGATCTTTGCCAAGAATGATAATGGGTAGCCATTTTCTTGTAGAGTTGTTCTCTGCATGATATCCCATCAATCATGTCCTTTCCAATTGAAGGTTTGCCCGCTTCTTTGCAATGTCTGCAATTGGTAGTTGTGAGAAATTAGAGTTCGCACCTCAAGAATCTTTACAAAACTGCACATCACTTGAAGACTTGAGGATTTGGAATAGTTGTCATTCCTTGGCATCCTTTCCATTAGGTTGTTTTCCCAAGCTTACATACCTTCAAATTATGAATTGTCAAAATTTGGAGACCTTTACATGTGTTAGGGGGTCTGCTCTTGCCTTAAAATTATTTTCGATCACAAGTTGCAAAAAATTTAGATCAATGTCAGAAGTACACATTAATTCCCTTACCAGCTTCAACATTTGTATCTAGGAACTCTTCCAAACTTAGAATCATTTCCTCAATGTGGTTTGCCTTCTAATTTACAAGCTTTGGAAATTAGTGGCTGTGAGAGACTATCTTGTATACAATTGAATTGGGGTGGTTTTTTCAACGGCTGACTTCTCTCTTAACATTGCGAGTTGGGAGGTGATGAAAGTGAAACTATACTCCATAATTTACTAAACATCAATTACTACTGCCCAACTCTCTTGTGAATATCTCCATATTTGATTTCCCTAATCTTAAACATTTAGATAGAAAAGGGCTGCAACACCTTACTTCTCTCGAAAATCTCTCCATCCATTTTTGTCCAAACCTTGAATCCTGCCAGAAGATGCACTGCTGCCACCCTCTCTTCAGTTATATATCTACAGGTGTCCTAAATTAGAAGAAAGATATAATTTTGAAGGAGGAAAACACTTGTCTGACATCTCTCATATTCCAACCGTATCAATTAATAACGAAGTACTATGAATCCTTAAGATGGTGCGGCATTGCGTCAAAAGGTGAGCTCTCTAATTCCAAAACAATCAAACTTTTCAGTATTGTTTTATTTTCCTGCAAAAATTTTTCCTTTTTTTTATCCATTTCCACGGCACACACAAAATTTTGGTCTTCCCTTCATGATCATTGCATCAATCAACATTAATTATAGGAAACATCTTACCTACATCAATATACCTTAAGTTGTAAAATTTTCTAAGCCAAGACCATCAATGCTTCTGCAATTTTTATTTTCTTGAAAAACTTATAAAACTGTGAAACATGTGGTTTAATTTAGAGTCCTATAATTTCTCATAAAATAATAATAATAATAATAATATCACTACTGGTAATATTTGTTATACTATTTGTGCACACCTGAAGAGGAGAGAGAATCTTTTTTTTTTTTTGAAATGGTCATTAATTATCAAGTCATCACAGGGATATGAGTTAATTATATAACGTTGAAAAGATTTAGACCATATCTAATTATTTGGCTTGGTATCATATTGCGTATTTAATATCTATGCTTGATTAGTGTATTCATGAATGAAGTGTGATTTGAACCCCATACATTTATATTTTGTAATGAGATTTGAGTTATAATGTATGTATGTATGTATGTATGTTAACTATTTAGTTTTTAATTTTATAAGATTTATTTTTTGATAAATTAGGTTAGAGAAGATGAGGAAGCAGTCAAAAAGAGACAAATATGATATGCAGGGAAGGCGGGCAAGAAGTTAACCTAAACATTGCTGAGGCTAAGTACAGGTCTAGTTTTTTTAATGTTTAATGATTTTTTATAAAAAATATGTAAAAGCATTTCAATGGATCTGATTCTTTTTTTTTATATTATTAGGTTATAAAATATGAAAGGAGCTCACAAGAATTGCTCCACTCTCAGCACGAAGACTGGTGAGAAACTAATTAATCCTCTCTTCATATTCTTGAAATTCTAACTAATAATGATATATATATATATATATATTTATAGAGACACACACAAAACACACTTTATGATGAGTTCTTTTTCAGATTTATTTTGGTAAAAGATGATCTTGGTCTGGTTGAGGTTTATTGTATTTTAAAACAAAATACTAATTCCAAGTTTTTTAATCTATAAAATCATTATATGAAAATTCAAGTCAACAAAAATATCTTAGTTTTATATATATTCACACATTATCATAAAAACCAAATCTAAAGTTTGACTTATTAATTGGATATCGCGTTTAACTTTTTATTGACTTACTCTAAAATTTCTTTAAGTAGAATACTATAGGCTTTCAATATGCAAAGCAATAGCCAAGTGTCTACTAAAAGTATCACATGCCTAGTAATACTTATAGTTAAAAAAAAAAAAAGTAAACCACTTTTTAATTGTTGTGATTGAAACCTTTACTTGAGTCATGAAATCTATTATGATATTTTGGTTTGATAATGCTTGTCAAATAGGTGAGGAAAATCAGTAAAATTGCTCTGTTTCAGAGTTATATGAGAAGCAATGAAGGCAGTGAAAAACTAATTCAACTATCATTACTTTATCTCCTTATTTATCAGTCCCCAACAACGATTAAATGAACATAAAGGTGGTTTTTAGCTATACATACATACATACATATATATATATATATATATAAAACTTTTCACATTAGCTAAACGATCTGATAGTGTAAAACCTGTATTCCATTGATGTTTATTTTATGTACAGTTGTGCAGAAGGCAGAATTGAATTTCCTCATCAATTACCATGTTACCTCAACAACAATAAGCTCAACAAAGGTATGATATCCTAGATTTAGTATTAGATACTTAGTCAGTTTATTGAGATTAGTGTCTTGATTAACACTCTTTCAATTTACCTGGACATTCCTCTGCATTGATTAATTCGCGTCTTGCAATTCTCATATGCTCATCTTAGTGTATTAAGACAATGTCTTAAAATGAATATGAGATTTTGTTTTTCATAAATCTGGTCGAAAAATAGATGTGTGGTGTTTTAGAAAGTAACGAACCCTATATATGTTCATATATATAGTCTTGTAATTAGTAACTGAGAATTTTTCTAATGTATTCCACTTTAAATATATTTTTTGCAGACTTACACTGATATACCTTTCTTCTTGAAGATTCTATGACATACACATCTTCCAACTATTTTAAGGTAAATGAGAAAATTAATTTTCGTCTTTCATGAGTCATCAAATTGTTTAATTACTAATTCTAATAGGTTAGAATCTACCCTCTTGCTTTTAGACAATTTTTGGTTATTAGTTTTGATGATAACAAGTAATATTAAAATTATTTTAAATGAGAATTGATATTTTTGGAAACTGAATCTGATTGATTGTCTTCATTGCAAAATCAGGAAACAACAAATAATTGACAATGGTCATGGAGGAAATTAGTTGTTGGGACCAAGAAAAGGAGGAAAGTTAACCATGACAAAATACAAAAAGAAAATTGTGTTGACGAATGATTTACAAAGAGATGAAAGATTGAATTGAAGGTGCAAGCAGATTATTATTTATCCAAGCTTAATTGTGTACTTCCTAAATATCATTGTTGGAATTTGAGCATCTGCATGCTTAGAATGTTTTTGCTACCTAGTTTTTTCAATAGTGAACTACTTTTTACATTTGTTTTATTGTTTGGGTGAGTTGGGTAAAACCATGCATGCTAATTTTAGGTGAGTTTTGTAAAAACTTTTGTCATAGTTGTGAGTGAGCTCAATGTACAATTGTAATTGAATTTTTATAATGGGAAAATCTCTTGAATGTTTCTCAAGAGGACTGGACATAGGTCGGGGACCGAATGAGGATAATTCTCATGGTGCGTGATTCTCTCTCTTCCAATTCTCTTATTAAGATCACTTATTTATCTACACATTTCATCTCACATATAAACACTATCAAGATGTTTTAAACTTAATATAATTAAATCATATTATTAGAAGTGTTGTTACCCTCTATGTTAAATTGGAGTGTCTAGATTGCTGATTAGATTTAATAAAAAAAAGTATAGTTTTTCATTTTAACAAATATAAAGTGAAAATTAAAACAAACATTAATTTGAATCATTCAAATTAAATTTAAAGGTACAAATTAATATGGACGAGAGCAGGATGGGAGGATGGGAGGAGGGAAGCTGGGCCCTGCAAGTTTTTCACATGTCAATTCTCAAAATAAGGTGAGTAAAATAAATTACAATAATCGTAATATAAAGTATGAGAATGTGAAGCTGATAATCGAGAGGAAATCACTTGGTTTGGAATAAATTTGGTCTTCTTTAATTATGATTTTTCAGTCTGCAAGCCACACACAATTATTTGTTTCTTAGAATCTAAAACTTAATTGATTGACATAATTCTTGGATATAGCATCCCTAGACTTTCAAGTCATTTCTTGGCTTATTGAACATAACCATTGTCCTTATTTTCCAACATAATTATATACCTGGTTTTACAAGTGAATTTTAATTGTAGTTGTGTGTCATAACTTATTTATAATTACTTTTAGCCATATGGCATCAAGCTCAATCCCAAACTCAATTATTTGTACCGAATGAAAAATATAGCAATATTAGACTTGCATAATTACCTAAATTGTAGATGATTTGTGTATCAAAGTATAATCTGAGATTCACCTTGAGCATTTTTTAAGCCTTTATGCAAAAATAATGATAGTTAGGTCCCGAAATTTCTTGATTTTATTTTTATCTTTCTTAGTTTATCATAAGAGAATCAAGGTTCATCTAACATCATAAACCAGTTGAGGAATATTAAATCAATTATATTTTACGACACATTAGGTCATATTTTAATAGTTCATATACCAAGAAGATGGCTTGGGCCCAAAATTTCAATGGAGCAAGAAGGAAGGCCAGCTTACGAGAAGCCCAAGCCCAACCAAAGTGACCCAATCACATTTTGCAATGCTTCCCAAATTGTTTAAAATGGTTTTTATCTCCCGAATTTCATGGGTTTCTCTTTTCCCCAAACAAATAAAATGTGGAGAACATGAATTTCAACGATAAATGATTACGCATTGCATTACTGTTACCTTATGTGAGGAGCACAATCCGAGTCAAAAGAAGCCCAATAAGTGTTTCTTAAAATTTTAATTTACAATATTTTATTATATTCTTTTTTTCATTTCCAAATAAATCATTTTTTCACCAGACATGTGAATATTATTAGTGTTTGAATAGATGGTAAAGATAGACTAGAATGAAATAAATGAGTGAAAGAGATTGGGTCATTAAGAATTTTGTTTAGAATTCAATAAGGGTTTAAGTTTTTAGGGAGAATGACAATAAGGGCTCCACAAGAAAAAAAATATAGCAGTGAAAGCTAAACACAACTCAAAGTGAATTGATGAATATTCATTTGTGTTTACAAGTGAATTGATGAATGTGTATCTATAAATAGATAAACTTATAATTATGTTCATCCTCACTACTATTTTTTTTTCCCTCTTCACTGCCCATTCTCAAGATTTTTTCCCCCAAGATCAGTCATATATCACATATAGATTATTGATGTCTATATTATATATATAATTTTATATGAAAGAAAAATTGTCTCACCCGTTACATACACAAACCCAAAAAATAATAAATAAATAAATAAACATACATCTCATTAGTACCGTATACATCATAAACCCAGGATAGTAATAACATTTGATCACTTGATAACATCAATATCATAATCCACATAAGGACTAAGGGCTTGTTTGTTTCTTTATTTAAAAAAGTATTTTTTTAATAGAAAAATTTAAAACTTGTTTGGTTAAGTGTTTTTAATTTAATTGTTTTTTAAACTATTTTTTATTTTATTTTTAAAAATAAAAAAATAGAAACAACTTCAAATTGTTTTCATTCTATTTTTTTATTTTTAAAAATACACTACATTTAATTAAATTAAAAAAATTACCTCAATCATTTATATTATATTTCATCATCATTAATCACCTATAATTATCACTATCACTCTATTTTTAATTCTAAAACTGATTTTAGATTAACATAACCAAACAACTTTTATTTTTATTTTATTTTAGTTTTGAAAATATTTTAAAAAATTAATTACAGACTATTTTTAAAAAATAAAAATAAAAATCAAACTGGCCCTAATCATCCGATGTGCAGTATCTTGATCTCTCTTTTCAATGAAATATCAAAAAGCCAATGTAAAAATAATCTACTGTGTTGTGATATATACTGATATGTGACGTAATATATGTTTCCCCCCATTAATTGCTATTTAGAAGGTTGGGTTAAAAAATTACTATTTCAAAAGTAGAGAGGGAATTATTTTTAATATTATTATTATTCATAATTAAAATGTCACTAATTTTTAACTCAAGTTTTTCTTTTGATCTACATTAAACGTTAATGAGAAAAAAAAACATATATTGAAGCATTTTTATTTAATACAGACAAAGTTATAAATTTTTTAACATATTAATGAATTTTAAAATTTGTCTTAATTTTAGTTTAACGTGGTTCAAATGACTTATAAATATAATCAAAAAAGTAATCCTTCCATTAAAAAAATGAGGCATTTTTTTTTAGATAAGATGTTCAAAAAATAAGATATTTTGACTCTTTCAAGATCAATTAATGAGATTTTTCAAAAATTTCCTTAATTAAGAGTGTGAGTAATAAGATTTTTTTTAAAATTGAAATATTATATTAAATAAAAATAAACATAAAAAGATGTGTAGTCTAAAAAAATTAACTAATTCATTGGAATGTAATTTGATTAAAATTGCTAAGGGAGACAAGAGTATATGGTGTGTGAGAAAAATTTTATACTTAACATTATATACATAATGTGCCTATTTTCAATTAAATTAAGAAACTTAAATTTTTTATAAATTATTTATTCAATAATAAACTCTTGTTTTTATATTATTAACATATTAAAATTTAATTTTCTTTATTTGATTATATATAAATATATTAAATATATAACACTAAATACCTAGGCTTACCCACAAACACAATACTTCTTTGATTTTATTTATAAATTAATTTTAATTTTCACCCAAATAAAAAATTTAAATAATTAATTCTATTCAAAAATTTAATAAGTTTTCAATTTAACCCCCATTAACTATAAATTACACTTCCTCTTACTAACATTTACTAGAAATTAAAAAAAATTATAATAGATAAATTAATAATATAACTTACCAGTAAGATAAAAAAATTATTTTCTCTCCATTCCATAAATTAGACCAGATGAAGCGTGTGTATAAAGAAACAAAAAATATGAGAGAGAGAGAGAGAGAGAGAGAGGGGTGGGGCAGGTGAATGGAAAAGAAGATGGATGAAATGTTGAATCTTTAGGGGACAAAGCACCAACACATTTGTGTGCGCCTTTGTCTTAGTGGACCTCTCATACTTGCCAAAGAGGATTTGCCTTATTCAATCCTTTTGCCTTTTTTCCCATTATCAACATGCATCGATCAACCAAAAAAAAAAAAGAATTTTTTTTTAAATTATCCTTTTTGCAAAAATAAAATAAAATAATGAATCAATCACAACAAATCAACCCATTAAAATTTAAAATATTTATTTAAAAAAAAAGAGCTTCATAATTTGCTCCCTAAGTCATTGAGAAGCAAGCCCCAACCGAGGAACACAAAAGGGATATGCTTTAATTCAATTGGGGTTACTTCTATATGCACCAATTTTTCCCCAACACTTTGCTAAGCATTTTGCTACAAAAAGATTCCAATGTTGCTTTATCTTAATAAGATCATTATTCATGGTGCTCAAATGGCAAAACCACCACCCCAAAACTTATCCTTTGTCTTAGAAAAAAACAAAACTTGTGATCCATTATCGTTATATTTGTTTTACTATCACCATCCATTTAGTGCCTTTTAACATTTCAGTTATATGAAGAGAAAATCATTAAGAAGTCTCGTGGAAAAAAATTTAATTTCAAAAAGACTCATAAAATGCAAAAATAACTCTTAAATCCCACAAGCCTTAATTATAACTAAGTGTTGGTATGCATTAACTAAGATATCCTTATTTGGAAAACAAAAAGCAAAAAACTCTCCTAGTGGTCATTTTGGCAAGGGGTGTTTTGGTAAAGTGCGCAAAAACTTACCCATGAGACTTCAAAGTTATTTTTGCATTTTATAGGACTTTTTTAAAGTTAATTTTTTTCTATGGGACCTCTTAGTAATTTTTCCCAAATATAAATGTTTCTCAAAGCGTGCCGCATACATATCCAATCAAAGAAAAATCATAAAAATTCATACAATCGTAGCTTTTTGGGTTTTTGGTTAAATCTCGTTGGAAATATTTCTATTGTTTGTTTTGATATGTGGCTTGTTATAAAGTTATGGTATTCATGGCACTAAGTGGAACAATTCGGTCCTGATTTAATCATGATGTGGTATTGTGACGTGATGGATTAAAGTACACAGTGAAAAATAAAAATCTTTTCGGTAGGATTAAACATAAATGTCGTGAAGTGCATTGAATCAGAAAATATTTCCTTCAACAATTAATTGGCCTTGGTCTTAGTAAATAGAATTATGCAGTTCGTGTAAATATGGAAAGCTTTTTTAAAAAAGTTACTCGCATTTAAATTTGATAACGTCTTAATTTGATTCAATTAGATGGGCATATCATATTTTTAAAAAAAGTCCTTAACTAGAGCTTGTTTATATTGTTAAAAAAAAAACTAAAGCTTGTTATTTTTAAAAAGAAAATACAATACTTGCATCACTTCTAGCAAATAAAATTGCATAAGTACAAATATTTATCTCT